AAAAAAAAAAAAAAGAAAGTGTCTCTCTGGATTTAGTTGTCTGGGCCTTAGAACCTACCTGACTTAGAGGTTCTAAAGGTTCTTGGAGGGCCTCAGCTGGGACTTTCAAGGCCAACAGAGCCAGACAGGTCTTTGACTAGAGATGGGAGGGTTAGAGGACTAACCTAGGAAGGAGAATTGCTTGAACCCAGGAGTTGGAGGTTGCTGTGAGCTGTGATGTCATCGCACTCTACCCAGGGCAACAGCTTGAGGCTCTGTCTCAAAAAAAAACTTTAATCCTACTTGGATAAATGTGGCAATTAAATAAAAAAATAAAAAGCTTTATAGGAAAATATCCACCTTAAGAGACTTTAAAAGGAAAAACACTAAGAATTAAAACATTGTCTTAGGGCAGTGACTGTGGCTCAGTGAGTAGGGTGCTAGCCCCATATACCAAGGGTGGTGGGTTCAAACTTGGCCCTGACCAAACTGCAACAAAAAAATAGCCAGGCATTGTGGCAAGCGCCTGTAGTCCCAGCTACTCAGCAGGCTGAGGCAAAAGAATCACCTAAGCCCAGGAGTTGGAGGTTAATGTGAGCTGTGATGCCATGGCACTCTACCAAGGGCAATAAAGTAAAACTCTGTCTCTGAAAACAAAAACCAAAAAATATTCTTATGAAGGAGACAAAGCAAGCTTGGGTCACAAGTTAGACTTTATAAAGAAAAAAAGTTGACTCGGCACATGTAGCTCAGCAGCTAGGGTGCCAGGCACATTCGCCACAGCTGGCAGGTTCAAATACAGCCTGGGCCAACCACAACCAAAAAATAGCCAGGCCTTGTGGAGGGCACCTATAGTCCCGGTTACTTGGGAGGCCAAGGCAAGAGAATCGCTTAAGCCCAAGAGTTGGAGGTTGTTGTGAGCTGTGATTATACAGTACTCTAAGGTGGGTGACATAGTAAGACTCTGTGTTTAAAAAAAAAAATGTAACAGGGCACCACTACTGCATAGTAAGGTTCCCCATCAACTCGGCCTTGTCCTCTCCCACCTCAGTGATATCCCTTCACATATTAAGCACAAGCTCCTGTCAAATGGATCCATTCTTCATAGTGTAGGCTAATTATGGAAAATAGCATTTGGAGTAGAAATAAACAGCAGATAATAATCTATAATTGTTTTTAATCTTCAGGATGAGTCACTCAATTTATTTCCAAGTTTCTTCTGTCATCAGCTGTTCATTTCTTCTTCTTCATCTTTTTTTTTTTTTTAAGAGACAGAGTCTCACTTTGTCACACTCTGTAGAGTGCTATGGCGTCACAGTTTACAGCAACCTCCAGCTCTTGGGCTTAAGCCATTCTCTTGGCTCAGCCTCGTAAGTAGCTGGGGCCATAGTGCCCGCCATAACGCCCGGCTATTTTTTGTTGCAGTTTGGTCAGGGCCTGGTTTGAACCCGCCACCCTTGGTAAATGGGGCTGGGACCATACTCACCAAGCCACAGGCGTCGCCCATCAGCTGTTCTTTTCTTTACTTTGAAAATCACCAGATTAACACTGCCAAAGGCAAGGGAGGAAATGATCCAAGAGGACAATTCAGAGGCATCACATAGTGAGAAACTGTAAAGAAGATAATCTTCAAGAAAGTCTCTTTTTTGTTTCAGCAAAGGCATCAATGTGTGAACCTAATTCACACTTTCATTATTTCAATCAGGTTATTTTTACATCAGTGTAATTTTAGAACAAGACTTGCTAGAGGATTATTTATTTCCTGGGAAGTTCTGTCCATCACTGTGCATATAGGATATCTAATGGCTAACTCCAGAGTTCATTGTGAACCAAGAAATTACGTTTCTTTTACCCCTCCTTAGTACTTTCACATGTCTTTGTTTCTTAAGTTCTTCTTTCTGAATAAGAAATTTCAAAACAGCCAAAAGTAATGGCTCAAATCTGTAATCCTAGCTTTCTGTGAGGCATAGGCAGGAGAGAGGATCCTTTGAGCTCAGTTCAAAACCAACCTGGGCAGCCAGGCACAGTGGCTCATGCCTGTAATCCTAGCACTGTGGCAGGCCCAGGCAGGCAGATCACTTGAGCTCACAAGCATGAGGCCAGCCTGAGAACAGTGAGACCTCCATCTCTAAAAAGAGGTGAGTGTTGCGGCAGGTGCCTGTAGTCCCAGCTACTAGAGAGGCTGAGACAAGAGAAAAGAATTGGTGGAGTCCAGCAGTTTGAGGTTGCTGTGAACAATAATGCCATGGCACTTAACCCCAGGGTGACTCTGTCTCAAAAAAAAAAAAAAACAACCAAAAAACAAAAAACAAAGACCAGCCTGGATATGAGCAAAACCCTACTCTACTAAAAATGAAAAATTTGTAGTGGACACTTGTAGTCCTAGCTACTTGGGAGGCTGAGGAAAGAGGATCGCTTCAGCCTAGGATTTGAGGTTGCTGCAACTTAGGCTGACACTATGGCACATTGCACGGCACATCCCCCATGGCACTCCAGCCTGGGAAACAAAGTGAGATTCTGTCCCACAAACAAACAAACAAACAAAAAAAAAAAAAAGAAAGAAAGAGTATATACATTTCAAAAAAAAAAGGCTTGGCAACTGTGGCTCAAGTGGCTAAGGCACCAGCCACATACACCTAAGATGGTGGGTTTGAATCCAGCCTGGGCCTGCCAAACAACAATGACGGCTGCGACCAAAAAATAGCTGGGCATTGTGGTGGGCACCTGTAGTTGCAGCTACTTGAGAGGCTGAGGCAGGAGACTCGCTTGAGCCCAAGAGTTGGAGGTTGCTGTGAGCTGTGATGCCACAGTACTCTACCCAGGGGGACAGCTTGAGGCTCTGTCTCAAAAAAAAATTCTGACATTATGGGCAGTACCTGTGGCTCAGTGAGTAGGGCTCCCACCCCATATACCGAGGGTGGTGGGTTCAAACCTGGCCCTGGCCAAACTGCAGCAAAAAAATAGCTGGGTGTTGTGACGGGTGCCTGTGGTCCCAGCTACTCAAGAGGCTGAGGCAAGAGAATTGCCTAAGCCCAAGAGCTGGAGGTCGCTGTAAGCTGTGACGCCACAGCACTCTACCGAGGGCAACGGAGTGAGACTCTTGTCTCTAAAAAAAAAAAAAATTCTGACATTATTATAAGAAATGTGATCTAAAGAAAAAAAAGAAATGTGATCTAGTTAGATGTGAACTGAGCTGACTAAACTTGGACGAATCTTCTATTCTCATCAATCTATTTAGGTCCTTAGATTCCCTGTAAAGTGTAAGCATGCTATTTTATCTCTATTTGAATTGTGTTCTTTAAGCTGATTGGATTCTTAAACCCATTTAGCCTCTATCTCTGATTCAGGGTTAGAAATAAGAGACTGGAGTCCAGATGTTCGCCCTAGGAATGAGGTCTAAATCATAGCTCAATTATTGCAGAAAGGCTAAAAATGGAGGTTTTAGACTGTCCTCAACATCCTCTTAAAAATAAAAAGCTGCAAACTTGGATTAGTAGCCATTTAATTATATCAGAAGACCATTCCCTAACTTAAATTCACTTTTTTTTTTAATTGCCCTCGGTAGAGTGGGTAGAGTGCCGTGGCGTCACACAGGTCACAGCAACCTCTAACTCCTGTGCTTAGGTGATTCTCTTGCCTCAACCTCCTGAGCAGCTGGGACTACAGGCACCTGCCACAATGCCTGGCTATTTTTTTGCTGCAGTTTGGCCAGGGCTGGGTTTGAATACGCCACCCTCGGCGTATGGGGCAGGTGCCCTACTCACTGAGCCACAGGCACTGCCCTAAATTCACTCTTCACACTTGCTGCAGATTATAACTATATAGGAAAGAAAGTATAAAAACTAAAATACTACCCAAATAATTCAGGACAAATATTGCTTTCATTTGAAATTTGAAGACAATTGAAACTAAAAAAAGTGTTTTAACTATATGCTCTTTCCCCCTTTATTATGACTTTGTAGGCATAATAAAAAATGTTTGCAACCAGTGAGCTTTCAAGTGAAGGATGTTCAACCTGGAGTTTATTGAATAAGAGGGAATCATTATCTTGGTTTTGGCTTAGTTTTTTTTTTTTTTGGCTGGGGCTGGGTTTGAACCCACCACCTCTGGCGTATGGGACCGGCACCCTACCCTTTTGAGCCATAGGTGCCACCCAGTTTTGGCTTAGTTAAAACACTTGCAAATGAATCAAGATATTCTGGCATAGCCTCAACCCTTCTTTTTTTCTTTATTGGCTGGGGCTGGGTTTGAACCTGTCATCTCCGGCATATGGGACTGGCACCCTACCCTTTTGAGCCACAGGCGCCGCCCCAGACTCAACCCTTCTAAAACACACAGATTAAATGTCAATTTATTTTATTTTATTTATTTATTTTTGCAGTTTTGGCCAGGGCTGGGCTTGAACCTGCCATCCCCAGTATATGGGGCCGGTGCCCTACTCCTTGAGCCACAGGTGCCGCCCATAAATATCAATTTATGACAAGTGTTTGCACACTCAGTTACGCTAGATGATGGAACTTGTGTGGAAGGTAGTAAGAATAAAAAGTTTGTCACAGCTCCTTCTGGGAAGTCTTCCTGCTTCGCATTTTCCATGTTAGCTAAAATGAGTGAACATTAGCTCTTGACGGATACGGTCCGCTTCTAAGTCCAGGGACTCCATGTGCTCATACTCTTCCTCAGGGGGCTGTTCCATGGGTCCTGTCATTGGAGAGGACCAAATATCCATCCCATGCTCTAGGGAGATGTTGTGGAGAACACAACACGCCAAGATGATGTGGCTGGACTTTTCTGGTGAATACTGAAGTGCCCCCTTGGATCCGTCCAGGCAGCGGAACCGGGAGTAGAGGGTTCGGAAAGTCTTCTCAATCACACTGTGAGTTGCAGAATGGGCCATATTATAGCGATATTCTGCTGGAGTTTCAGGAATATGAAGTGGTGTCATGAGCCAGGTGCGAAGAAAGAAGGAACTGTCACCTGTGGGGAAGTCCCAAAAGAAACTCATAATTTTGATATATTGATTATGTCATATGATTATATATGGAATATAAATAAGAAACGAAATTCAGAAAACATATACTAAGGATGAACAAGAAAATACAACAGCTTTTGGAGCCAAAGCACACCAAAAATCCAAGAAGAAACTGCTGTGGTAGAAAAAATGTGTATCAGTGGCTGTGGCTCAAGAGGCTAAGGCGCCAGCCACATATACTTGAGCTGGCGGGTTCAAATCCAGCCCTGGCCTGCCAAACAACAATGATAGCTGCAAGCAAAAAATAGCCAGGTGTTGTGGTGGGCGCCTGTAGCCCCAGCTACTTGGGAGGTGGAGGCAGGAGAATCACTTGAGCCCAGGAGTTGGATGTTGCCATAAGCAGTGTGACGTCATGGCACTCTACCCAGGGCGATAGCTTGAGGCT